TTTTGTTGAGGCTTTCAGGCTTTTGAGGGTTCAGAAGCCGTTCAGTCCGGATAGACAGCGAGCGAGTTGGGAAAAGCCTTTGGGGCTTAGGGCTTAGGGTCTAGGGTTTAAGGTTTAGGGTTTAGGGTATAGGGAATACTTGGAGGGTCATGGCTGAGGTTTTGTTTAAACTATAAACCGACTTCTAACTACCCAAGAACCTTCATGTAGGGCCCAGGGCTTAGTGTCTGAGTAAATGAGTCCTAGTTTTGGTTACCTGTACCAAAACACCAGATCGTTGCTGCTAAGCAGTAGGTACACTTTGTGGTGCTTTTCTGCAACTTTAGATCCTTAGCCTTTTTGGGTTTATTGGGTTTCCTAGTAAGGCAGCTAACAATTTAGTTTATAGCTACCCTCCTAAGTGCAGCCAAGACAGGCGTCATGAGCAGATCCCTGAACGACAGAAGCTGAACTGCAGGTTTGGGGTTTAGGGTTTCGGGTTTAGGGTTTAGGGTAGCGCCATTCATCCCAACACACTCATAACCCCGAAGCACCCTGCGACAGTCTCTGTAGCAATTATGTATACTTTCCGAAGTGTTTTTCTGCATTCGCAGGATATCTTCGAGATTGGCCGGGCACCACAGAAAGTTTAGGGGGGGGGGGGGGGGGGTTCTTCTCAAGGAACATGAAGTGAACGTAATTGATTACACAGCAGTTTCTATGAACGGACCCTGTTTGCAGCTACTTCAACTTCAGTTCCACTTGCACCAACCCAGTTTCATTCCTGGCGGTAGGGAGAAGTTCAGATTCTTCCTTGTGCTAGTGGGGAGTTCAGTTTCTCATGCATGGCTTAGTATTAAAGGCCACGCCAATCCACTGAACGGTACAATCTATGAGCCCTGAACCCGAAACCACAGGTCGTAAACGCATAGCTTTCGTTGTGTCTTGTCTGCTTCTTCCATTCTCAGAGGGTCCAATAGTTCCACACCTCATTATAAGGAACTCAGACCCTACCCTTTCGTAGGTCATGAGCATGAATCCGCTTATAGGGTTCTTAACTGATGAACATTAAAAGGCACGGATGACTTTGGTCCGTGGGTACACGGGCAGTTTTCGGGTTTAGGGTTTAGGGTTAAGGGCCTTCACGGGACCGTAGCACATGGACCCTTGGCTTTTTAGTTTCCAACACATTAAATGTCCTCCCACAATGGCCTCTCTTTCTTTTTTTGTTTATTACTTTGTTTATTGTCTTTTGAATGCTATACGGTATACCAATGGGGTTGAGGGTTTTGGGGTTTGGGGTGAGGCGTTTCGTACGGACACCCCTAAAGTGCCCTTCTTCTCCTTGAGGGACAGATGATTGTCACTCAGGAACTGGGAAGGTACCTTTAACCTTCTTGCGTATATAGAGTCCTACTAGATACTAAAGGTGAGGGTATTCAGCCCTAAACCCTAAACCCTAAACCCTAAACCCTAAACCCTAAAACCTAAACCCTAAACCCTAAACCCTAAACCCTAAACCCTAAACCCTAAACCCTTGGGCTTGGGCATTTAAGGTTAGGGGAAGGGCGCCGTGCGCCTCAAGCCCAAATGCTTCAAATGCTTAAGCTTCCGAAAGCCTCAAGTCCGACGCGGCCTCATGAATCTGGGTTTAGGGTTTAGGGCTTGGGGCTTAGGGTTTAGGGTTCAGGATTTAGGGTTTGGGATTGAGGGTAGGGTTTGGGGTTTAGGGTTTAGAGTTTCGTGCCGTGCCTCTCAGCACTCAACCCTAAACAATCAGATCCCTACGTCGCAGGAACGTCGGCCTTGGTGTAGGGTTTCAGGGTTTCGGGTTGAAGGTTTAAGGGATTTAAGGGTTTAGGGTTACCTTAAACCCTAAACCTGAAATCCTAAACCCTAAATCCTAGACCCTGGTTTTAAGGTTTTTTGGGCTTAGGGTGCCTCGCCTGAAGGTTAGTATTCGTGTAGTTCCTGTACGGGGCGGGAATAGGGTCATAAACCCTGAACCCTACTAAACCTTAAGCCCTAAACCCTAAACCCTAAACCCGAAACCTTGAACCCTAAGCTTTCTTCAGTGCCTCAGGGCAGCGGCGGACCAAGTACATGGGCGTTCAACTGCGCGAGGTCTCGGAGCTGCCAGCTCACTGGTCTGTACGGGGACTGTACTGCTTTAGGGTTTAGGGTTTAGGGTGTAGGGTTTAGGGTTTAGGGCTTTACTTGGAGGTTTAGGGTACTTACTACCCCAATAAGAACTGTACTTATAGCCCAATTATACCCATATTAGGGCACTCCAGGCGCTTCTAAGTGGGTTAATTACAAGTACAGTTATACTTGGTTAATCAGTGCCACGAACCCCCAAGTAGGGGTTTAGGGTTTCAGGGTGGTGAGCTCCAGGGTTAACAGATTTGTTTGTTGGATGAAGGGTGTTTAGGGCTAAGGGCTTAGGGTTTAGGGTTTAGGGCCTAGGGATTCAGACTTCTGATCTGTCAAAAGGGCCCATTGTAGGAAAGATGTTTTTGCTGAAGCCTGCCGATGGTTGCCTCTGGTCTGAACCGACGTGTGTGCAGCTTTACAAATCGGATGTGTAGGATCTCATCGCAGAGTTGTGCTAGACTCGGCACCCAGAAACCCTAAACCCATAAACCCAACTACTCAGACATTGAAAACCATCTTGTGTCCGGCCCGCAGTGCCCAAAACCCTACCAAACCGGGTTTAGGGCTGAAGGTTTTAACAATATTGAACTCCGAGACCCTCAGCCCCAGACCCCCACCCCAAAACGGACCCGAAGCGTTTCGGGCATGTCGTTGCGTGTCAGCGCATGCTTGCTGAGCGGGCGAAGTGCGGACGTGGACCTGGCGCCTGGTCCCTTGGGCCCGACAGGTTTAGGCTTTGGGAACCCTAAACCCTAAACCTTAAACCCTAAACCCTAAACCCTAAACCTCGAGTCCATCCACCCTAATGTTGTCTGCTGATTAGTGTGGCCCCCCCCCCCCCCCCCTCAACGAAAGGATCCCGCTCTTTAGAGGGGGGGGGGGGGGGGGGGCAATTTGGGGGGGGGGGGGGGTCTGGTTTTATATGATTTTAAAAGGGATGAGTTTATATGAATTTAAAAGGGATCCATATGATCCATATGATTTTAAAAGGGATGAGCTCGTATGAGTGTAAAAGGGATCCATATGATTCTAAACGGGGTGAGACTATATGAAATTAAGAGGGATCCATACGATTTTAAGAGGGATGAGTTTATATGAATTTAAAGGGGATCCATCTATCCCAACCAAGCCAGCCCGCAAAAAAAAATATAATTCCGGGGGAGCAAACTTTTTATATTATACGGCATCCGGGCAGCTGCTGGACTACCCCCTTTGAAATTTGATTGCCCGGCCTCGGTACAAAAGAATTTTATAAGGAAATCTTAGTTTTGGGTCTGGCCTGGAGGCTGAAGATTTCAGGGCCCGACAACCTCAGGCCTCAAGGTTTAGGAAACCTCAGCCTTTAGGCCTCTGGATCCAAACCCAACTAGCCCGCAAAAAAAAATATAATTCCGGGGGAGCAAACTTTTATATTATACGGCATCCGGGCAGCTGCTGGACTACCCCTTTGAAATTTGATTGCCCGGCCTCGGTACAAAAGAATTTAATAAGGAAATCTTAGCCCTGGGCCCGGCCTGGAGACTGAAGATTTCAGGGCCCGACAACCTCAGGCCTCAAGGTTTCAGTCTTTAAACTTTTGATCTTTGGTCTCTCAGGCTCGGTTCAGAAGCGATTTATGGACGACAACACCATTCGACAGCCTCGCCGAAATTTTGCATCGCCCGATTTTTTTTCACAATTCCGGGGGTCCTCCTCAAATAGATCCCCCTGAATAATTTTTGGATTTTTTTCCACAATTCCGGGGGAGCACACTAATCAGGATACAACATTACTGCTAGGGATTGTCGTCGTAGAATGAGATGCAAATCCGCAAGTCTATCTCCGGCAAAGCATACACACGCATAAGCATATCAGTAAAAACACATAGTTAGAACTTTAGCTGTATAAGCATAAACACATAGCAAAAGCAAATGTGTATATACAAATATCTTATAAGTCAATATGAGTCTACCAGATTGTAGGTATCCTGGTGTATAGCAGGGTAGCACTATGATCCCACTAACTCTAAAGCCTAAAGCCTAAACCCTAGACCCTAAACCCCAAACCCTAAACCCCAAACCCCAAACCCCAAACCCCAGCCCTGGCGATCTGCCGCTTTTTCGGGTTCACCTGGGTCCCTAAGGCACTTTGGTGGCCGAGCTCCGACGCCGGGCACGGGAATCCAGGGTTCCAGGGTTGGTTCGGGGTTTAGGGTTTAGGGTTTAGGGTTTAGGGGTTAGGGTCCAGGGTTTAGGGTTTAAGGTTCAGGGTTCAGGGTTTAGGGTTTAGGGTTTGGGGTATGGGACTGAGTCCCTTGAAGGAAGCTCTTGACGTCAGCGGCCTCTGCACAGTAGTGAGTGCCAGTGGTGCCATCCTCGATGAGCAGACTTTGGTGGATGGGGCCTTGCAGAGTCTGGGCTGTTAGGGTTTAGGGTTTAGGATTTAGGGTTTAGGCCGTGTTTTTTTTGGCAAAGTTGTTTAACCTTATGTAAAAAACACTAAGGTCTTCATTGCTAAACCCACAACCTTAAACCCTAGACCCTGAGCCCTACCTAAGTTGGGTCCAGGGATCTGCATAGCTCCTCCCTAAACCCTACAGAACCCTAAGCCCTAAGTCCTCAAGAACTTGACAACAAGAACCCATAAATGGGCTAAGAGGAGGGACCCCTAGAAGGGACCCTGAGTCCCATTAACCCTAAGGTCCCTTATAAGGGTCCCTCCTTTCGTCCCTTTGACCCAGACATGCAATAAATCCTCAACAACTTGACACCGTAAACCGCAAACCCTAAACCCTAAACCCTAAACCCTAAACCCCTAAACCCCTAAACCCCTAAACCCTAAACCCTAAACCCAGAAATGGGGACGTGGTGACGTTGCACAAGAAGCCGATGAGCGTCGCAGCAGCCCGGAATGGAGCCTTCGCGGCCATTCGCGGTGATGGTTCCCTGGAGACCAAGAGCTACTAGGCAGGAAGGGTTTAGGGTTTGGGTTTAGGGTTTAGGGTTCAGGGTTTAGGGTTTAGGGTTTAGGGTTTAGGGTTTAGGGTTTAGAGGTCTAGGCAGGAAGACTTTAGGGTTTAAGGTTTTGGGTTGAGGGTTCACGGTCCAGCCGCAATCCCTAAACCCTTATACGCCCAACTCTTGCAGTATTGGCTTTGCTTAGAGGTTCTGTTTTTGGGGTTGCTTACAGGTTCTGTTTAGGGAGATTCCTTTTGTGGGTTTTTTAGAGGGATATAGGGTACCCAATTCTCGAACCTACCGAAAAAGGGCCCATACGTTAAAGCGGATCTCTTCCTAAACCCTAAACCCCTAAACCCTTGGTTCAAAGTTTCTAACCGAGGACTGGCGCCGATGGATTCGCCAACAGACGGGGATGCCGCCACTGCCTTTCGGAGCCTGAGAAACGTGCAGCGTGTTCAAGCGGCTGGTCTGCGCGTTAGGAAAGGGTTTTCGGTTCAGGGCTTTGGGTTTCGGGTCTTTGGTTTAGAGTTTGGGTTTAGGCTTCAGGGTTTTGGGGAATGTTGTGGGCTTCCTTGCTTTAAAAAAGAATATATTGAAGTTTAAGCGGCCAGTGGAGAAGTAACCCTACACCCTAAACCCTAATCGCGAAGTCGAGAATCCTCTACGCCAGAAAACCTGGTACCCTAAATCTTAGGGTTTGGGAGTATGAACCCTAATCCCTATAAACCCTAAACCCTAAACCCTAAGCCCTAAACCGTGGATTCAAGCGACTGGGGCGGTGCTTCGGGAGATTGTCTTCGATGTTCCCATTATTCGTTGTTAAGGAGATCTAGTCAATCATTGCCCCAGCTTGGGTTATGAGGATGCCACCCGTATATGCCACCCGTATATACAACCCTGAACCCTGAACCCTAAACCCTAAACCCTAAACCCTAAACCCTAAACCCTAAACCCTACCAGGCTACGGAGAGCGCTTTTGCCGCAATCCTTGGCGATGGGTCGGTCGTTGCCTGGTATGCACCGGGCCCGGAAGACACGTACGCAGATGACCGTGCGGCCGGCAACTACACACAGCTAAAAGAGCAGCTACAGGATGTAAAAAAGGGGTTTAGGGTTCAGGGTTCAGGGTTTAGGGTTTAGGGTTTAGAACAATTACTTATACTCTTCCCTTATGGTCCCTTCGTAACCCTAGGGCTCTAAGGACTCTGTGTTTTTAGGGTTTTTGGGCCCAAAGGCCTTCTTATGTAAGGTTTTTGGGGCTATTTTGAGCCTAAGGGTAACTATGAGGCCCCTATAGTACATCAAGTGCAGGATGTACATCACGTGCAAGCGTCGCTGAGGGCTTTCGCTGCCATCAAGGGTGATGGATCTGTGGTGACATGGGGCCACCCAACTTTTGGAGGAGACAGCCGGAAGGTCGAGAAGCAACTCACAGACGTCTGTCAGATCCAGGCAACTGCTTCGGCCTTTGCGGCTATCAGGAAAGACGGCTCCGTGGTGACTTGGGGTAACCCTGAAGACGGCGGTGACAGCCGCAAGGTCAAGCGCAGGCTAGTCGAGGTGCAGCAGATTCAGGCGACTTTCCAAGCATTCGCAGCCATCCGGAAGAACGGAACTGTTGTTTCATGGGGTGACCTTTGTGACGACAGCAAGGTCCGAAGCCAGCTAACACACGTGCGGCAGATACAGGCTTCCAGCGAAGCCTTCGCTGCCCTCAAAGAAGACGGAAGCGTTGTCACTTAGGGCTACTCTGGAATAATTTATATTTTAATGTAGGGTTTAGGGTTTAGGGTTTAGGGTTTAGGGTTTAGGGTTTAGGGTTTAGGGTTTAGGGTTTAGGGTTTAGGGTTTAGGGTACAACAATTGTAGTACGACAATTCCTGAGAAACAGCAAAACACACAATTTTTGCTCGGGTTCCCCAAGTTCAGTTAAGGTCACATGGGGGGGTGAGGGGGAGGCGCGGATCTGCAAGGCAGTCAAAGAGCAACTCAAGGATCTTGGTAGTGCTTTACTGTAACTTTAGATCCTTAGCCTTTTTGGGTTTTTTTGGGTTTCCTATAGTAAGGCAGCTAAAGATGTAAGTTATAGCTACCCTCCTAAGTGCAGCCAAGAAGGATGTACGTCAGCTCCAGGCCACGGCCCACGCCTTTGCCGCGATCTTGGGTGATGCTTGGTAGCCCAGTGGTGCCCTTTACCCTTTTTTTTGGTTATGGGTTTAGGGTTTAGGGTTTAGGGTTTAGGGTTTAGGGTTTAGGGTTTAGGGTTTAGGGTTTAGGGGTTTTATGGGTTCCCTTATAAAATGTTCAACCCAAAAAAGGGTGCCCTTCTTATGATATGGTTACTGGGCTACCCAGGATGGGTCGGTGGTGACTTGGGGGGACCCGGAGGCCGGTGGTGACAGCAGTCATGTTCAGGGTCAGCTACGGCAGTGCCAACACATCCAAGCTGCTTCCGGCGAATCTTGGGAAGTTAGTGGTGCCCTTTTTCCCCTTTTTTTGATTGCTTCAAGGTTCCCCGGTAGTTATAAGTAATCAAGAAAGGGAGCCCTTATAAAAAGATGGTTACTGGGCTACCAAGGCATCCTATTCAGACTCTGGGCACAGCTTGGGTGCCTTCGCTGCCCTCCTGGAGAATGGCACTGCTGTGACCTGGGGCGACCCAAGAGGTGGCGGAGACAGCAGCGGAGTCCGGGAGCAGCTACTTCGTAGTAGAGTAGGTAGCCTTCAACCTTTTTTTGGGGTACTATGATCGCCTGATAATCCCAAAGGTTAACCTTGTAGTTTCCCCTGGGTACTGGACAACTAAGGCTCACCAACGTGCAGCAGATCCAGGCTACCCTGGGCGCGTTCGCGGCCATCCGAGGTGACGGATCCGTGGTGACGTGGGGGCATAAGAGCTATGGTGGAGACAGCCAGCAAGTCCAAGCGAGCCTCAAGCATGTGAAGCACATCCAGGCGTCCGCCTTGGCCTTTGCCGCCATACTCGAAGATGAGACCGTGGTCACTTGGGGCGGTGAGAAGTTCGAAGACGACCTTGCTGAGGAGGGGGAGGAGGACGAGTTTTTGGAGGACGACCTGATCCTGGAAGATTCCGAAGAAGACTATGAGGTCGAGGAGGAAGACGACGAAGAGGGCGAAGAGGAAGATGAGGCATGGCCATCGCCGGCCTTTGCTGCGAGGAAGGCCCGTCGGACGCGCTATTAAAGATGTGCCGCACGCGCCCCCCACAGACCTAGATCCTTGAACCCTGAACCCAACCAGACTTGCAATCGTGAAGCCAAAACTCCATTGTTTTGGAACCCCTAAACCCTAGACCCTCCACCCTAAACCGGATGTTGGGCGCTTCGGTGCTTCATTGCCGGGCCTAAACATTCTCTGATCGTTCAGGTAGCCAGAGGGAACTTGCCCCACGTCTTAAGCCGGGCAAGCCAAACCCCAAACCCCAAACCCCAAACCCTAAACCCTAAACTCTAGACCCGAAAACCTAAACCCTAAACCCTAAACCCTAAACCCTAAGCCCTAAACCCTAAACCCTAAACCCTAAACCCTAAACCCTAAACCCTAAACCGCAACTTCAGGTGCATTAGCATTTGCAGGCGTTCGGGATGTCTCAAGGGATCAAGACTCCTACCCCTAAAGATGTACCCCTAAGAGGCTCCCCTTTTTACACTCCCAGTATGGCCCTTGTATTCCCTTGGAGGACCTTAAAGGGGTCCCCAAACTCAAGGGTACAACCTTAGGGGTGCAGGGTAGAATCGCCCTGAGATTTTTGAATAGGGCTTGTAGGGTGCTTGGTTGGGGGCTTGGGGTGTGTGGGGTAGGGGCTTCACATCGGTCTACGAGATTCTGAGATGTGCAAGCAACCATCGTAGCATCCCCCCCAAAGGGCGGCGCCCACCCCCTAAACCCTAAACCCTAAACCCTAAACCCTAAACCCTAGACCCTAGACCCTAGACCCTAGACCCTAGACCCTAGACCCTAAGCCTTTGTAGTCGGGAAACTGTTGTTTTTTGGGGAAGAGGGTTGCCCCGTCAGGCGTCGACTGCAGGGCGTGATGGTTCTGTGTCTAGCTTAAGAGCCTCTAAGAAAGCCTACCTTATTTTAGGTTGCCGGTTACACAGCCTATTTCTGGTAACCGACAATAGAAGGTTTAGGGTTTAGGGTTTCTGCGCAGGCTTGAGGGTTTGCACGGTTCAACGGCCGAAGGCGTCCGGACCTGCGCCTTGGGGTTTAGGGTTTCGGCTTCAAGGTTTAGGGTTTTAGGGTTTAAGGGTGTAGGACGAAGGTGCCAAGCGCAAGCAAACCCCAAGAACCCCTCAGCCCTGGAGCCTTAGACCATTCTCAACTCTAAACCCTGGTTTAGGGTTTAGGGTTTAGGGTTTAGAGCTTAGGGTTTAGTGTTTAGGGTTTAGGGTTTAGAGGCGCAGGAAAAGGCAAAGGTACCCAGTCACCTGGGAGCATCCAAAAAGCAGAGCCCCCCGAAAAATCGTGCCCTATACACCTCTCGGTCCATGATGGGCAACCCTTTAGGGATCTCAATCGTACCCTACACAACTAGGGGGTCAATTCTAATGCAACCCTAACCCCTAAATCCGAAACCCTAAACCCTAAACCCTTGAGGGGCCACTTGCGGGGATCTGCTTTCTGCATCCTCCTCCTTTCAGGGGTCTAGGTTCGATCTTCCCGGGGGCGAAATGCGAAGCCTGATTCCTGGAGACCTTAAACCCTAAACCCTTAACCCTTAACCCTAAACCCTTAACCCTTAACCCTTAACCCTAAACCCTAAACCCTTTACCTAAACCCTTAACCCTAATCCTAAACCCTAAACACTAAGCCCTTTTTCTTTCCTCTCGGGTTGCTGGGGGACCTCGTAAGAAGGGCTTGCTTGAGACTTCGGGTTCAGGGTTCAGGGTTCAGGGTTCAGGGTTCAGGGTTCAGGGTTCAGGGTTCAGGGTTCAGGGTTCAGGGTTCAGGGTTCAGGGTTCAGGGTTTAGGGTTTAGGGTTTAGGGTTTAGGGTTTAGGGTTTAGGGTTTAGGGTTTAGGGTTTAGGGTTTAGTCAGTTCGCATCCCTGTGGCACTTCGAGAGTTCTTTTTTTTCGTCACAGGCGCCGCTGCTGGACAGATCCAGCTGCCTCTACTCCACGGACTACGCCCTTTGGATGTCTAGGATGCCCAGTAGTACCCTTATTTCCTTTTTTGGGGGGTTTAGGTTCCCTTATAAACCCCTTTAAGCAAAAAAGGGCACCCTTTTTTAAGCCCTGGTTACTGGGCAGCCTAGATGTCGAAATGGTCAGATCTCAACAATGAGGGTCTCTTTTTGGGCACCTTATATGTTTTTGGGGGCCGAAATATTTATATTAGTATATATATATATATATGTATGTATGGGCCCAGAAAGGAAACATAACTTAGAGAAGTCACCCTATGTGTTTGGGCCTGCACTTTGGGGTTTAAGCTGTCATCGGTCTTCGAGCCCAGGGTCGTTGAGTTTAGGGTTTAGGGCTTAGGGTTTAGGGTAGAGGGTTCAGGGTTCAGGGTTTAGGGTTTAGGGTTGTGGGGAGTTAAGCAGGTCCACGAGGAGGGGGTTTCGGATGCAGTTCGGCTTGTCGCCCCCCCCCGCGAATGTGTCGGAGACCTCCTAAACCCTAAACCCTAAACCCCAAGCCCTACTTAGTCATGCAGGGCCAGGGATGGGATCGTTAACGTTGGAACCACTGTTTCTGCAGGCATATCACGCAAGAAAACAACTGCGATTTTGCACATGGGTAGTTCTCTAAGTCAGGGTCCCTTTCTTGGGGTCCTCTAGGACCCCCAAAGGCACCCGAATTTAGAGAACTGCTCACATGCACCTCCTAAACCCTAAACCCTAAACCCCTTACCCCCTAAACCCTAAACCCTAACCCTAAACCACCATGCACCCCATGAGGCCACTCCTCAGTTTCCTGGTTCAGTCGGTTTCTAGAGCTTTAAAGAAAAACCATCATGATCCCCTTGGGCAATCGACGTGCAGGATTGAGGGCTTCGGGCCCTCAACTAACCCTCAACCCGAAACCCTCCTAAACTCGAAACCCTAAACGCGAACCCCTCAACTCGAAACCCTCAACTCGAAACCCTAAACCCTAAACCCTACACCCTAAACCCTAAACCCTAAACCCTATACCCTAAACCCTAAACCCTTAGGATTCAGGATTTAGGGCCTGTAGGGTTTTGCCAGTCAAGGCGCGAAAGCCATTGGGAGATCACATCGCACCTCGGCAGCAGCGACATGGTTTTGGGAGCCGAGTCCTTGGCTATAGTTACCCTAAACCCTAAACCCTAAACCCTAAACCCTAAACCCTAAACCCTAAACCCTAAACCCTAAACCCTAAACCCTAACGCTCAACCCTAAACCCTAAACCCTGGAATGAGTGGAATTGTAGAGTTTGGAACATGCGGTGTCCCGTAGCTAGACGTTCGGGTTTAAGGTTTATAGGGTTGGGGAGTTATCACCTTCCCTAAGCGTCCATGCAACTATAACATTCTGGCTGGTTCTTAGTAGGGAATGAGGGAATGAGGTACCCTATGTAATCACTTCAAGGGGAAGAAAAAGGGCAAGTAGATTCTACATGTGTGCATGGACCCTTCGGGCCTCTTCCATGAGAATGGTCTTTGGGGCAGTTTGCTACACCAGCCTTTTCGGGACTGTAAGGAGGTGACGTAGGTAAATATTTAGGCTCCTGTATGGCCTACAAACACGGTCAGTCTCCTGAGATTAGATTCCCCTGCAGCAATAGCACAGTAAGGAAACTGACTCACTGGAATCAGCAGGTTGGTTATCCTTGAACATGCGCAGGCAGTTGAGTCCGAAGAAAGCACCATGCTCCCTTCACCCTACTAAACCACCCGTAAGATTATGCCATTTGTTCGTCGGCTCCCCCCCCCGAAACCCAGCCCAATACTGGAACTGGTTGACCGTACATGGACTAAACCCCCCCCCCCCCCCCCCCCCCCCCCCCCCGGTCGTAAGAACTGAGATTGTCACTCTAAGCCCTATACCCTAGAAAATGCTAAACCCTTATAAAGTATGCCCGCAACGACTTACTCCCTTAGAGCTATCCTAAGCCCTAAACCCTAAACCCCAAACCCTAAACCCTAAACCCTAAACTTATGAGCCCTAAACCGCGAAGCCCGAGAGCTCTTCGCCCTGAAAAGGAGAATGGGAAGATGGCCGCCATCTTCAAAAGCGGCTCGTACCACCGGCCGTTTGATCTTGCAACTGGCGCGAGACCCTAGAAGGCCTGAGCATGAGCCCCTTTAGGGTTTGGGGTTTGGGGTTTAGGATTTAGGGTTAGGGTTTTGTATTTTAGGGTTTAGGGTTTAGGGTTTTGAATTTTAGGGTTTTTGGGGGCTGATGTCTTATGTAGTATGTGGCACTGTACCGGTGCGAGACTCTGGGGCCGCAAAGGGTTCAGGGTTCAGGATGCCGGAAAAGTTGACTCGCCGCAGGCCGCAGGTGATAGACTTGTCCAGAGAAAGCCTAAACCCTAAACCCTAAACCCTAAACCCCAAACCCTAAACCCTAAACCGCCATGGCCTGCAACGACCTGCACGTCTGGAAGCGACCCAAGTTGTTCTTGGACTGTCACTGCCTTAGTTTGCGGACGGGGGCTTCAGGGACGCCTATCCCTGACCCCAGGGCGCTAGCCTAAACCTTAAACCCTGTAAATGCCTGGAAAAGTCCTGTAAAAACCCTCTACAAGCCCTGAAAAATAACCAAAAAACTGTACGCCCTAAAGCCCTGAACTAAACCCTAGACCCTGAAACCCTAAAGCCTGTAGAGAGACTGAACCCAACACCAGCCCGGTACTGCGGACTCGCAGCCCGTAGAGCCCACACGTGGGGGTTTCCGAAAATAGGTGGGGTACCTTATTATTGGGGTTATTTCAAGGAATCCTACTATTTGCGGGTTTAATTTTTAGGGGTACCCCATTTTCGTAAACCTTGCAACAGTGAAGACCTCTTCCTGGGACCCTATTTGGTGGATTCCGAAATTGGAGGGGGTGCCTTACTGGGGTCCTCTTGTATATGACGTGTCCCTGATTTTCATAAACCCCCGTTTAAACTCGAAGCCCTATAAACCCTAAACCCTAAACCCTAAACAGTTGGGGGTCCCTTATCTTCGTAAACCCCCACGTGGGCCGTGCGCCAGGGCGGCCATCAAGAA